ATCCAAGGCGTTTGGCCAATGAACATTTCTATAATGCCAAGGGACAGAATTAAATTCACAAAAATCAGCAATCTGTAGGCCATGAAATCTAGGTTAAAATGTGGTTGAGTGAGGAAAGTTGGCACATGGGTGTATACAATTTTCATTCATATTTAGGTAAAAACTGAACTGGGAGTAGAAGTACAGATGCAGGTGGAGAGATGACTAGGCACCTTGCAGGGGAGCCCATATTGGTTCTCCCTCTGTCAAAGCGATTCAACAAGCTCATGTTTCATTCAGGGACCACTTTTCAAGCTCCCAATATTTACTATGTGTGCTACGCACAAAAGCTGTGGTGGTGAACAAGACACCGTCTAATGTGAAACCAAAAAAAAGTATGACAAATCTTCATTTCAAATTCAATGAAATTGGATATTAAGGTGAACACAATAGCAGTAGGTGGAAGTAGTATTTCAACCAACCCCCTCTTACTTAACCATGTTGACTTGAGCAGCATCTCAACTCCATCACTGGCTTCTCCTTCCCACGGCCACCCCCTAATTCAAATTCTTATCATTTCATACCTTCAATATGAAGCTCTCTAAGCTTCAATAGCAGCTTTCTAAGAGGTCCCCCTGTGGCCAGTCTCTTTTGCTCTATTCATTCATCTTGCATAGGCTGATGATGCCATTTCTCTACTCAAAATTGTCAGATTCCACAGCGCTACAAAATCAAGTTCAAGCTCCTCACTTCCTTTTAAGGCTACTCCTCTACCAACACAGGCTCTATGCTTCAGCCAGGCTGACTTAACACTCGACTCCCCAAATCCACACTACAGTTTTTTCCCCTCTGTCTTTGCTTAGGTTGTCCTTTCTGCCTGGAATGTCCTCCTGTCTCTCCTTCCAAGAATATCTCACACGGTACCTCTCCCATGACTACTTCTTTAACCACCACAGCTGGATATAATCCCAGCCCTCCCTCCTCCCTTGGACTCTTTTAGTGGTTCGTTTGTACCTGGCTTATGGCACATAACACAAGCAGCTTCATACTAAAAGGTCAGGCAGGGACCATATCTTCCATAACTTTGTATTCTGTGCAGTACTCAGCCCTGTGCCTAACAAGTAATAGTTTTCAATAAATGTCTGTTGAATGAATCATTTCCTTGGGGAATTGAATGTATATAGATAGAACTCTTAATGGATTTAACAGGACTTTCAGCATTAAATGACCCCTGACATTTATAAAATCCATGTAGTAAACCACAAGCAATAGTCCTGCAAATTGAGTACTGCTGCTTGCTCTTGTATGAAGAGAAACAGAGGTAGGTAGGATTCTCATGACTTCCTCAAGGCCACACAAGGAGCCTTGGTTAGAGCTGTTATTACAAGTCAGCATTTTCTATGTTTATGCCACTTGCTGATACCATGCTTCACATCAAGCATTTCCATGGTTACATCTGTTGTTCACCCAAGAAAGAGGCATTTATCAAGACTACCCCTAAGGCCTCTATGAAAAATAAGACAATATTCCAAAATACATACAATGGAATATTATTCAGCCATGAGAAAGAAGGAAATCCTGCCCTTTTTGGCAATATGCATGTACCTTGAAGGCCAGACACAGAAAGACAAATACTGTACAATTTCACTGATATGAGGAATCTAAAAAAGCTAAACTCATAGAAACAGAGTAGAATGGAGGTTACCAGGGACTGGGGGTGGGGAAAATGGAGAGATGTGGTCAAAGGGTACAAACTTCCAGTTATAAGGTGAATATGTTATGGTAATCTAAGATACAGCATCGTGACTATAGTGAACAAAACTGTATTATATACTTGACAGTTGCTTAAGACAGTAAGTCTTAAACTGTTCTTACCACAAAAAGAGTAACTATGTGAGGTGGTCATCATTTCCCAATATATACTTGTATCAAATCATCATGTTGTACACCGTAAACTTACACAATGTTATATGTCAATTAAATCTCACTAAAGCTGGAAAAAATCCTTCCTCTAGTGGGGTACTAGCAGAATAAAAATGGACAATTAAAAAATTTTTTTTCAGTTACTTGGAAGTAAGTTAAGATTGAATTTGTTTCTATATAGAATGCTTTTCCGGCTAATAGAAAAAGCGAAATAACCAGGAAATGGCAAAACAAACAAACAAACAAAACACCTCTAGAGATTATGTTTTTATACAAGTTGGAAAAAATTTAAGTTTGTTGAATAAAGTATGTGATAAATATAAACATTAACAACAGAAAAACAACTTCTGGGATAAGTATTTAGCAAACGTTTTAAAACCACACAGAGTTCTTAAATATATTCAACGTTCTCAAACGGTTACTTCAGGGTTACTATTTTTTCATAAATAGGATGAACAATTTTAAGGCAATATGACAATGTGATCTTAAAACAATGTCATCTTAAAAATACAGTCTCCAAAATGTATTTGGAATGGAATAAGAGATGATTGATACTATAATGCTGCCTACTCAATGTACCTAGACACATGTAAAAGATGGGTTAAGAGTTTAAAGTCACAAAGCACGTGACCGCCTGGAGGGGTGGGATAGGAGGGTGGGAGGGAGGGAGACGCAAGAGGGAAGAGATATGGGAACATATGTATATATATAACTGATTCACTTTGTTGTAAAGCAGAAACTAACACACCATTGTAAAGCAATTATACTCCAATAAAGATGTTAAAAAAAAGAGTTTAAAGTCACAGAGAAAAAGGTTTTCTGTTTGCATTTCTGCATCCTAGAGACAGAAATTAGAACCTTAGTACTATCTAGTTAGCTGGCAAATCATGGCTGACACATAGGATATCTCTTACTTAGTTCAGGATATTTGCCATATTTAACACAGTTATATCACTGTGACTCTATGTTTTCAAGCTGTTGGATGGTTTTCAGTGTGGAAACTGCCTTCACTGTCTACCCACAAGAACATGTGTAGGAGCAAAAGGCTAATCTCTTTTCTACAAATTCCCAGTGGGTAAATAAAAATCTGAGTTTCAACAACAATAAAAAATATGTCCATTTACAATAGAAAAAACAGTCCAATTGAAAGCATACATTGACATGCCTATGACCAAGCAACAGCCGCAAAAACCGATGGATCGTTTTGTCACATCTACTTCTGTAAGTAACAGAGTTTGACATGACACTAAGCCATATTATACAAGCTCATCAGGAATAATATTGGAAAAATAATTTACTCCAACTCTAGACAACATGGTTAAGTCCAAATAGTGGAGATGATTTACAAAACAAAAGGTCGTAGACCAAATGGAATCATTCACTGACTTTTAAGAAAACAGTATCAAGAAAGACAGGAAAAAGCATGAGTTAAACTTCTCATTATGTCGAGCAGTAAAACTTGACTTTGTGGTGAGAACTGAAGGCACAGAAATAAAAACATTGAAAACCTAAGCAGGGTTGCAAATCTGGATTAGACAGCAACAGCAACAAAAACCATAAATTTGGGGCTTCCCTGGTGGCGCAGTGGTTGAGAGTCCGCCTGCCAATGCAGGGGACACGGGTTTGTGCCCCCGTCCGGGAGGATCCCACATGCCGTGGAGCGGCTGGGCCCGTGAACCATGGCCACTGAGCCTGCGCGTCCGGAACCTGTGCTCCACAACGGGAGAGGCCACAACATTGAGGGGCCCGCGTACCACAAAAAAAAAAAAAAAAAAAACACATAAATTTAAGAAACCAAAGACTGATTACACAGTGGAGGAAATACAGAAAAAAAATGAAAAGATTATTTAGAGATAATGAGGAAAGAACAGATGGCCAGATGGCTAAAATTCCTCTGGAATATATACCCCTGTAGGTCAACAATCAAGCGGCCAGCTGAGACAGAGGAAAACAAGGCAAACCTGGGGACTTTACAATCAGAAACCTAATCTGTAAGGGCAAAAACAGCAGTGAGTAAATGATGTTCTATGAATAAAGTCATGTTCCTAGAAGAACTAATTGCTATTTCCAGATGCACAGAAGTACCTTGTATCCACGTTTCACAAAAACGTGAAGTAAAGAAAAAAACAATATTTATAATGACTTCATATAGCTATGTGACATGAGAGAATTATTATATGATCAAGTAAGATCAGACATCTATTTCCATAACATGTAAAGAGCTTCTTCCACACAAAAGAGTTGACATATAGTAGACAGTTCTCAAACTTCAGATATTCAGATCTCTTGTACTAAATGGGGTTCCTGTGACAAAGGGTCCATCTTAATGGTACCAAATTTTGGTTGAAGAATACATCCCTGGCCATATCACAAGTCCTTTCTTACCAGGTAGCCAATGGCAACCTTGGCTGCAAGGGGGAGAGAGAAATGATCTTGAGCTATGCTTCCATAAAACAACGTTTTAAATTCATTGGATTAGATTCCAAATTCTTTTACAAAACTGTATTTGACCCATAACAAGGCTGAGCTGCTAGTGCAATATTTTCAGTTAATCTGTGACAGGTACCTCCCTAGCTGGCCAGGACTTTGTACTAATGAGTATATCTATAACAGCATCAGACATCAAAGAGTTTCATGCAGTGAAGATATACGTGATCCACAGCCCGTTACAATCCCCGACTCTGGCTAGCTACTCAGCAATGCAGGGTGTGAAGAAAAGGATGGACGAGGGAGTAGAGACAGCTCAGTGTTCTGACTCTTGGTGATTAAACAAAGCTTAGTATCACTAAGTTAGATAACATGGTCTAAAAATAAAAACACCCTGCCTCTCTTCCTCCTTCTTTTCAAAATTAATAGCCCAAATGACTGTCAGAGAACTAAATATGAAACTTTAATTAAAGTCTTCATCTAAACACAGTGTCATGAAACAATAAATGAGGGAGAGATTAGGAAAGGGAAAGTTGACTTTTTCCCCCTTTTGAAATAACAGAAAGTGAAGGAGAAACACAAAACGTTGAAAACAGGGCATCCCAATGTCATGTGGGACAGTCTGACGTGATAAGCACTGGATGCTTTTGGTTTAGTAAAACAATAGCCCAGTGCTTGCTTTGACAGCACATATTCTAAAATTGGAAAGATACAGAGAAGACTAGCATGGCTCCCGCACATGGATGACACGAAAATTCGTGACGCGTTCCATATTTTTGAGCAGTATGTTTCTTCTCTTAGAATTAAACGAATGCTGCAAAGATCAAAAACAAACAAAACACAATAAGCCCAAATGATGTTTTCTCCATCTCCTTCTTCACCACAGGAAAAAAGACTGAAATGATTGGAAGAACACTGGAGTTCTCAGGATCTTTTGATAACTGCTTATGTGACGTTGGACAAGGGACTCTCCCTCACTGGATCTCCAGTTTCCTATCTGTAAATGGTGACAATCTGAAATGAATGTTCTACATTCAAAGTTTTTGATTTGCTAGGTTTGTGAAGCGCTGTTATGGGTATGAGTGCTTTCTTAACTATTTAAATTATCCAACCCATCTAGTTAGTTGAGGTTAGTCCCAAGACCAGCCACCCCATGCATTTCAGAGTTTTCTCATTACCACACCCAAAGTTTAAAAAAGAGAAGAAAGTAAAAGAAACATTAGGACTTTCCTGGTGGCACAGTGGTTAAGAATCCACCTGCCAATGCAGGGGACACAGGTTCAAGCCCTGGTCTGGGAAGATCCCATATGCTGTGAAGCAAATAAGCCCGTGCGCCGCCCGTGCGCCACAACTACTTAGCTTGCGCTCTAGAGCCCGTGAGCCACAACTACTGAAGCCCGTGCTCCGCAACAAGAGAAGCCACAGCAATGAGAAGACCGCGCATCGCAACCAAGAGTAGCCCCCGCTCGCCGCAACTAGGGAAAGTCCGCACACAGCAACAAAGACCCAATGCAGCCCAAAATTAAATAAATAAATAAATTAATTAATTAATTAAAAAGATTTTAAAAAAGAAACAATAATACTCCACTGTATTTCTGAGCATCAAAGACAGGAGATGCATGTGCAAGACTAAGAAAGTTCTTTTTAAAACATTTAACTTTGAAATAATTTTAGACTTACAGAGACATTACAAAAATAGTACAGAACGCCCCTGGAGACCCTTAACTCAGATTCCTGTAATGTCTATAACTTACATACCATACATAGCACAGTTATAAAAACCAGGAAATTATCTTTACTACAATACCATTAAATAAACTAGAGACCTTATTTGAATTTCACCAATTTTTTCCCCTAATGTCCTTTCTCTGCTCCAGTATCCAATCCAGGATCCCATATTGCATTTACTTGTCATGTTTATTTAGTCTCCTCCAATCTGTGACAGTTTCTCAGTCTTTCCTCATCTCTTGGTCCATTTTCTCTTCCCTCCCTTTCTTGACTGACAGTTAGTAGAGAAGTGTGTTACCCATCACTTCTAAGATGGACACTTCCACATTTTGACAGCTTGGATATTGGGATGATCCTTACCATCAATGGTATGTTGAGGAGATGTTGAATAAATGAAGAAGATATTTATCGATTTTCACAAGAGGAAAACTTTACAGCACAGAAACCCAGCAGACACCATCTTTATCAGGTGATTAAGGTTAACATGAGAGAGAAGATACATCAACATCAAGTACCCTCGAATATGACGCACATCATTTCTATGGTTTTCTTGCCAAAAATGCATGACCTCAGTCAAATCATGAGAATGCATTTGACAAACCCAAACTGAGAGGCATTCTACAAAATAACTGACCAGTACTCATCCAAAGTGTCAGGGTCATGAAAGACAAGGAAAGGCTGAGGAACTGTCACAGACTGGAGGAGACTAAATAAACATGACAAGTAAATGCAATGTGGGGTCCTGGAGCAGAGAAAGGACATTAGAGGGAAAATTGGTGAAATTCAAATAAGGTCTCTAGTTTACTTAATGGTATTGAACTAGAGTTATTTCCTGGTTTTGATAACTGTGCTATGTATGGTATGTAAGTTGTTGACATTACAGGAAGCTGGGTGAAGGGTATGCAGGAACTCCTTGTACTATTTTTGCAACTTTTCTGTAAGCCTAAAATTATTTCAAAATAAAAAGTTTAACAAGTGAGGCTGAGCTATCAATATGTATTTCATTGGGTACTGACTGTAATTCCATTTTTCTTTCAAAAGAGATTTTTGAAATGTCCAAAATAGCATTGACTTTTACCGGTCAAAGATACATCCTTTTTAAGGTCAATAATAGAAGATAGAGATCCTTAAGTAAAATGTTATTTTCCTTGAGTCTCAGGATGACAGGTGCTGTCTATGTATCTTTATAATACAGGCAGACCCCTCTGATCAAGCTCATAAATGATTCTAAATCTTGCATAATTCAGCAACCCTTGGGATTATGTTGCTAGGAGTCTTCTGCTCCCAGTAAGTTTTCCCTTAGCAAGCAGGGATGAGGTAAATATTCACTCAAAAATAATCAAATTTTAAACTGGTGAAAACTGCTGTGACTAGTGATACTAGTACAGAATATACTGGTAACTCAGGACAAATTGACCTACAAGGATAGATTCACACCCATACGTCTATAAAACCAGTTTCACTTGCCAAAATATTATTATGCTTGTGATCATATGTGATGTTTGAAGACATAGTATGGGGCTGTTTTGTGTGTTTTCCTCACCCAGTCCTCTGACTATGCCTGCTGCTAAGGCCCTTGCCAGGAGATTTTTGTCACAAAACTACCCAAGGTGGTGAGTGCAGTGGGCAGATGTGATGGGTGTTGATCTTTCATAATTAAATAATGACAGCATTTATATCCTCCCTAGATAACAAGTGGCAGGTATCACAGTGCTTCAAGTATGGAGAAGAAGGTTTAAGACACATGAAATTGCTGAAGCAGAATACATGAAGACAATATTGGCTATGAAAACAATCACAGATTCTAGTATTTTCAGTATTATCAGTAATGATCTTTTGTTAAAGTCAAGGGACAGTCGCTAAAAATACCAACCTAGATCAATTGCAAACTGTAATATCAAGAAATTGGCACAGAATGGGTTAAGCAATACTTTGGAGAGAAATTCTGAAACAAATTGTGCCAAGCCGACTAGGCAATTGAGTCAAAAAACACCTGCCTATCAACATGACGCGAGACTCTTTTACGTAGCTGGAAATTAATCTATGGGCTGTGCTATCTAGATCTCTATCTGAAGATGGTGCAAACTTCATCACTGAACACTCAACATTCATGGAGTGATGGGCACAGCACTTCAGCACAATGCACAATTAGCCATCAAGCTTGCCCTCCTTATTTTCATAACATTCCCTCATTATGAGGTGAGTATAGGATATTGTTAACTATTGTGCCTATTACGAAGGCAAAGAACCATCACCATCTGGTAGAGTACCTAGCGCTAATGGAATCCTTATAAAAACAACAAAAACAAAAGTAGCTGCCCAAAACTCATCAAGTGATTGCTTGTTATTTAACCACTCATGGAAGAAGAAACAGTGCACAGATACATTTCAAAAGTGTTTCAAGCACAGAAACTCAAAGTGGGTAGCAAATGCTGCAATAACCATCAAGGTAAGTTATTTTGTTATTTGTGTATTATAGATATGATAGTAGTACAACCCACGTAGGTCAACTATTGTCAACTTGGTATAGTTTTCATGCTTATCATGGATAAGGAATAATATAAGAGAACTACAAAGCTTTTATGCAGACGTGGAACTGTGATGCATGTGCTATCTAAATGACTAATTAATTGTTTGAAAGGCACTGTATGTTTCAAATACTAAGATTTTCATTAAAATTTGAGAATGTAAGGATTATGTAAATCATCTTTATCTTGTGCGACTGGTCATCAAGATTTTAACATATGAAAAATTATTTTAAAAACACTGGGTATACTGAGTAGACAGTGTATTTAAATAATTAAGTGGCTTATTACTATTCATTGGCCATTATCTATTTAGTCTCTGAATTAAACATTTTCCAAGCTTTAAAGTGGTAGGGCAGTATGCATTTTGTTAACAATCATGTTCCATATTACTTTTCTTCAAAATGTTTCCATTATGGCATTCTTTTGCCTTTAAATGGGAGAACTGATCTGAAGTATATCAATGATTAGTAATATCACACATCTCTTTCCGCCAGACACCTGAAATGACAGAATTTACAAAGCCTGCAAGGAACTCTGTATCTAAGAGTAAGCCATAAAACCAGTGACACTTAGCTTGAAGAACTAACATCACACTCATGGCAACTGGAGGTGGGCTTGTCCATTTGAAACATTAATGTGTAGTTTTACATAATAAAACCCTAACTAAATAGAACTGTTTTGAAGAACTCCTAAAATAAGCATCTTAGTTAATAGTAAGAAGATAACTTTTCATTTAATTCACTTTTTTTTTTGGGGGGGGCCACGTTATGCGGCTTGCAGGATCTTCCCCAACCAGGGACTAAACCCGGGGCCATGGAGTCAAAGCGCCGATTCCTAACCACTGGACTGCCAGGGAAGTCCTTAATTCACTTTTGTAGTGATACATGGCTTTTCATTTATGTTATCTCATTGGAATCTCCACAATATTCATGGAAGTTAGGTAGAGAAGAATTACCCATGCATTACAGATGAAGCAACTCAAGCTCTGTCAGATTAAGTAGCTAAAGTCAAAAACAGTAGTGGGGCTGGGACTCCTGAAACAAGATTTGTAAAGTGACTAGTGCAGTGCTGGACACTCTATATGAACTGGCTAAAAGACATCTCCTTTTTTCGCCCTTAAACTAGTCCAGTGCTCTTTTCCATTTAAGGCACTGCACAGTCCTTGATTTAAGTAATACACAGAAGATTTAAATAATACATAAAATAATTGTAGATGAAACCTGAATGAAAATGAAATGAAGAAAACAGAATAAGCCCTTTAGTCATAATATCTGCTACAAAAAAGAGCAATTCAGACATTTTCAATGTTAGGAATTGCCATTATCTTTATAACTAGTTCCCATTCTTGAACTGGAATGGTCTGCAACAAAAACTAGCAACCATGAAATAAGCAAAAGTAACTACTTAAGTAGGATATCACGATAAAATGTTTTCTGAATAAATGATCACAGGAAGGAATACATCTCTATTAGCCAAAGCAGCCATAAATAAAAATGTGGTAAAAATGAGGTAAAATTGGTCA